CTCGCGCCAGCCCTTCAGGGGGGGTGCTCTGATCTCGCGGCACGATGATGGGGCTGGACCCCTCTACATTTGATCCCCCCGCAGTGGGGGGGGGGGAATTCTGGGAATTAACGTCCACGCATCTTAAAGCTGCCAAGCTTGAGAAACGCTGATCTAAGCCATCTCCAAGGAAGGTCGGAGCACAGACGTTTGTGAAACAAATGCTAACAAGGATGGGGAACAATGATTTCATAGCTGACGGGCAGAGTTACTTGTTTTCCAAATGTTCAAAGTTTTCCAAAGTGACCGTGTTGTTCTCACCTTTGATGCTACATTGAAACAAGAAAAGCCGAGGTTTCTGAGAGAACGTGATCACTCACAGTAGCTATTTAGAGTTCGTTTGGGTTTGGGGGGCTAAAACCCAAAGATCCCAATTAGAACCTCATATAAAAGACAGAAATTAAATAATTCTAAATGCAGGGATTGATTTCATCAACTCTTGCTGCAAGGAACTACGATTAGAACTCCTGCTGCGTCAACGACTGCCACTTATAATGGTTTCGTTGCTTTCTCTATGCCCAGCCTACAGTCAGGGCAAAGAAAAATGATCTTAGCACAACAGAGAAGTAAATAAATAAAGTCAATATCCTGGCAGACACTGGCTCCTTCTGGTTACCCTGAGCTTTATTACAGCAGCATGATTTAAGGTGAAGAGAAGTCAGTTCAGAAGTGCTATTATTAAATATGGTAAGTGGGGCCCAGGAATCTTTGCTGATCCAAAGCTGTTTTTCGGGAAGGGAAGCAATAGATCTTCTTTGGTCCACCCATCACCACCTGCTGACATGCAGGAAGAGAGCCGTGCTCGTCTCATGATATCCAAAAATCAGGAGGAGTCTGGCTGCACTTTTTCAGACTAGATTAATAAAATTAATTTAGCTACCAGACTCCTTTTGACATGTGCCAACATGAAACTTTCATTCAGAATCGGGGGGGGGGGAGCAAATATAAGTTAAAACTAGCAACAAAAGGGCAAATCTGGGTTAAAACTAACCCCCCCCAACAAATCCAGGTTAAAATGAATCCCCCAAAAGCCAAACTAGGTTAACACTATAGTAACAACAAAAAAGCAAATCTGGGTTAAAACTAACTCCTCCCCAAACAAATCCAGGTTAAAATGAATCCCCCAGAAGCAAATCTAGGTTAAAACTAACAACAAAAAAGCAAATCCAGGTTAAAACTCCCCCTGCCCCCCTACAAAGCAAGTCCATGGCATTTGCACCACATACTAAGTGTGGTAAGTTTTAACTCTGGCTGGCTGGGACAACATGTTGCAATTGTATGAATCTAGTCAGAAACGACAGGATTACAAGAAACCCTTCCCAGGGGTGAGGGGAGGAAAAATTAAGCCTGGTTCTTTCTTAAGCCCTACATGGGGAGGTACAAGATTGCCCTTACTTTGGACACCGAAGTGGCAATTGAATTTTTCATATCCACCCTCACCAAACCATTTTCTCTGGCAAAGAGGCCATCAAAGAAGGAACAAAACCCCAACAGAAATTTCTCAGCAGGGACCTATCACAGTTCCTTGGCCAAATGGCTTGAGAACAAGTCCTCAAAACTGCCGGTCCATGCTGGGGGAAGCTTAATTTCTCTCTGTTAAAGGCACATCTGAGCTGGGCAAGATGTCCATGCCAGCCCATTAGCAACGTATGCCACAAGTGTAACAATCAAGCAGAAGAAATGAAGAAAACAGGCCACGGATGCATTCTTGGTTCAAGGTAAGATCTGCTTCATTTGGGCCACCTCCATTGTTGCCTGGTTCAGCTTTCAAGAGCCAATCAGGGCTGGGTTGCGAGGCAGGAAAATCAAGTTATCAGCACAAACGCAGAGTGGGGAAAACAATCAGCATCGGGGTGTTGATGAAGTACAGTTTCCAGCATCCCTGATGACAGTTTGCTGATCAGATCTGCTGGCTGTCCTGGTTCAGAAGATCTTGAAAGGGTCTGAGTTCTACACTCCTTAGCTTTATTTTATTTATTATTAAATGTCTTTCCACCTTTTGGGTTATAGGACAGTATGACACTCAGGGCAGTTTACAACACTTAGAATGCAAAGTATAAAACATAAAAACAACACAGTTATCATCAGAGTAACATTAAAACCAGGATAATTCAAGTCAATTTATGTAACAATGAAAAACCTAGTGGATTTTTTAAAAAACATTTTCTTGAATCGTGGGAGAATGGGGGACAAAGACACCTTCTAGGGGAGAGTGTTTGCTTCTGGCAGAAAAAGTATCTTCAGAAGAGCATCTCCTGCTGATCTAAATAACTGGCAAGCTGGTTTAGGGAGAAGCTCTGTCTCAGACAATCAGACCTTAAACCATACAGGAGTTTAAAGAGCAATGCATGGTTAGCATTTGACATGAGAAGAGATAATGAAGAAATTGAAGTGGTACATAGCTTCTTCCTTTTAGGATCAAATGTCAATAGAAGAGGAATCAGCAGTCAAGAAATAGACCACAGACTAGC